CAGCTGGTAAAGGTCCCGAAGTGGGAACTGTCTTGGCGTAGTTGAAGGCTAGGGTAAAGTCTCAAATGTCTACAGCATAAGGGAGAAGGGGAAAAAAATGAGTTGGGGTCTAGGACTTCAGCCAGAATCATCTCATTTAAGATCCCACAAACTGAAAGCAAGGAATAAAGAAGGGGAACTGGCACTACCAGATACTTTTAAGAAATAAAACTAAAACAATGAGGTCACAGAAATTTAAAGCTTGAACTATCTAAACTTCATGAATGGCTGGTGAAAATATATTCTCATATACCATTGATGTGAGTGATAATCAGGAGAACATTGTGGAGGCAATTAGGCAATAATGGCATCGTTTTAAAATTTGCACATACATTTTTCTAGAAATTCTACTTTTGGGATTGTCCTTAAGCTATATAATGCACTGGTGCACAAAATTTGCTCACTAAAGCACTGTTCTTCATAACAATGAAGTAATCAAAACAAAACACTAACATTGAACTACTGAATGAAACACTCAACATTGAGCAAAGACATAATTTTTGATACAGTCATACACTAGGGTATTCAGTAGCCATATAAAACATAATACAAAGTCATATGTATTAATAAGACAAGATAAATATTTTAGGTGAAAAGTGCAAGATATATAGGACAAAAGAGAGCGAGAGAGATTAAATTCTGTTATATATATAGGAATGTCTGAAATTTCTGAAGTAATAAAATCTAAACAATGATAACTATTTAAAAATATATATATATTTTATTGATTTTTTTTTTACAGAGAGAAAGGGAGAGGGATAGAGAATTAGGAACATCGATGAGAGAGAAATATCGATCAGCTGCCTCCTGCACACCCCCCACTGGGAATGTGCCCGAAACCAAGGTACATGCCATTGATCAGAATCCAATCTGGGACCCTTCAGTCCACAGGCTGATGCTCTATCCACTGAGCCAAACCGGTTAGGGCCAATGATAACTTTTAAGGATTGGGATTGGAAATTCAGTTGAGTACAAGTTATTTTTACCTTATATCCTGTTAAATATGTCAGTGTGTTATGCCATTCACGTATATTATTTTTATAATGCAAATGAATGAATGCAATAGTAGAATAAAGCCTATTATTGATAATTCTGAAAATATATTTTATGTAAAATGCCAGGAGAAATGGAATCAATTATAGAATGAGTTTTAAAATATACATCCATATGAGCATAAGGACTATGAGGATGAAAGCTAGTTTCATGGCTCATAAGAAATGCTGAAATTAAGAATGGTACTAAGATTGATGTGAGGAGAGAAAAAATTCTAATCCACTCTTTTATTGTCTGATTTGAAAATATAAACCACTATTAAAATGGTATTTTTATTTAAAATGTCTATTGACAAAAGCAGAGTATACAAATTAGTTATAACTAATTTGAAGAATAAAATTCTATTGTATATGATAGTGGTTTACAAATTATAAGAGAAAGCAAGTGTTCATTGTAATATTAAAAAATAAACACTACATATGGTACATCTATATAATAGAGTTTCATCTACTAACTAGAGGCCCAGTGCACGGGATTTGTGCACTGGTAGGGGGGCGTGGCCTGAGGGGATCAGCCTGCTGTGGGAGTGCCGCTCATCCTGCCCTCTGAGTGACTGCTCATCCTGATCAGCCATCCCACTGTAGGAACACACTGACCACCAGGGGGCAGCTCCTGCCTTGAGTGTCTGCCCCCTGGTTGTCAGTGCACGTCATAGCAACTGGTCAACCGGTAGTTCTGGTCATACCGCCCTTCAGTCACTGGGCTTTTATTATATAGGATTAACAATGACATCAGTGAGTAATATTTAATGATATATAAAAGTATCCACAGCTAGTTGTTATGTGGAAAAGGATACAAAACCATAAACATAATATCATAACATTATTGTGATAACCAAAGTGTCTGTAAATTTGTATGTATACGTACTCACACCATAATAAAAAACACAGAAACATTGTTATCTTTGGGCTAGAGTATTTGTTTTAATGTTTTTCCTGTAAGTATTCTCTAAATGTGCTAAAATTTTTATTTTCTTCTTTTCCCCTGTATTTTGCAAATATGCTAAATCAAACTATTTTTATGTAATTTGTAATAAGAAAAAGTTGAGTTTGTAACCCCAATATATAAGATAATGAAAATGGAACTTTCTCCTCTAATAATAGGGAATTGTCATTCTGTTTCATCATGTTCTATGCTCTCGGCGGACTTCACTTATGTGGGTGCAGTTGCAGTCACATATCACTGTATAAAGAGTGCAGGGAAACGTGGATTGCCATCCATTTACCCAAAATGCAGAACAATGCCACAGTTTGGATGGATTACTGATAACACGTTAACTTTAGTTTTTCACATGAGAATAAAAAGACCTGTCTCAGAATTTGTTTAATACCCATCGATTAGATAATCTTTGAGATTTATTTCAAATCTGTGGTTCTATAACCCAATGAATAATAACCAATAACACCTATAAGACATTAAGCATTTCGATGTATCAATCCCTTATATCATGCCAGGACTTGTACCAATTGCATTATACACATGGTGTCTTTTCCTGCATTTTTTAAAATGAAAACACCTAACCTATCAAGTTACTTTCATTTTTTTCGTTTTACTCCTGGCAGGTTGCTTCAGAAAGTTTCTAATCTGTATCTTTCCACAAAATCTGGGTTCTATTGTTTCCTATTCCAGGACTGACTTTTCAGAGTTCACTAACTAGCCGGGGACAGGCAGTATCTGCATCAAAATGGTTGTGGCAAATGAAACAGTCACGTTGTGGTGGGCCAGGGGGTCTGACAAGTCCAGGGTAGGACTCAGAATGAGGTGGGTAAAATCATCATAATGGTGCTCATCATCCCTGCTGGTCTCAGGTAACAGAGGGAATCCAGTTGGTGAGCTAAGGAGCAACTCAATCATTTAAAAATGGTTATTGATAAAACCTCTCACTTTCATTACACAAATGATCTGACTCTGCATGTACCAGGATGGAAAGCTCATATGTCACCCAGAGGTCTAAAATGTAGAGGTGGCTGTGTGTGTGTGTGTGTGTGTGTGTGTGTGTGTGTGTGTGTGTGTTATACACATAAAGAAAGTAGCCCTGGCCTGTGTGGTACTTATTTGGTTGAGTGTTGTCCCATGCTGTTCAATTCTCAGTCAGGGCACATGCCCAGATTTTGGGCTTGATCCCAGTTAGGGGGTGTGCAGGAAGCAGCAGATCAATGTTTCACACTCACATCCATGTTTCTCTCTCTCCCTTTCCCTTTCTCTCTCTCTAAAAAATCAATTAAAAATTAAATAAAAAGGAAAGAAACTGCTGCTTAATTAATTTTTGCCACTTAAAAACTATTTCCTAGTTAATATTTCAGGGCTTTCTCAACTGACATTAATATCGCCTATAAAATATTTCAAACTGATTATATTAACTATCTTGTCTCAGCTCTGTCCTGTCACCCTCTTCCCAACAATTGAAAATGTTGATGATTTTGTTTTTCCATTTACTTGTTAGTTGACGTTTAGCAAATTATTTAGAATTTCTGAGTCTCCATTGCTGAAAATGTGTTAATAATACTTATATGGATTTTAAAGCTTAAATTTTAGAAAAAAAATGTTATTGCTCTTTAAAGAAAAGTCCTAGGAGTAGATAGCTAGAATGTTTTAAAGAAAAATTCAGATTATATAATTTGACAAATTCAAAGTTAATGTTTAGAATTGTTTAACTATCCTCTTAAACTGAGCCTCTTAATTATGTGATTAATCATTTTGTCTTTTTTCTTGATTTCTTCATTTTCTATATTATAAAACTAATGTCTTCCTATAACTTTCCTAATATAATTATAAAATATACTATATATCACCTCACCATTCTATGTTACTTTCAAGAAAATTGTTATTTCTTTTCTAATAATTCTATGACAAAAATAAGGCATTTACCCCAATTTTAATTTTTCAGGCAAAAACATTAATGGTAATGAAAATTAAATAGTTTTTCATAGGTTTCATAGTTAAAAATGACATATTTAAATTATTTTAAAGGGAAAATTCTTACAATATGACAACTTATATTAAAATATCTATTTCTAAGAGTTCTCATAAACCTGAATAAATGAAAATTTTGGAGGAAAAAAACTCCTATAAATACAGCTGATACAACCACAAAATGAAATAGACAAGCAAATGAGTAGATCTATAAGCATGCATCAGAAACTGACAACAAAAGATATATCAAACCAGGCCTTTGAGAGATTACAACGTTGCATAATTTTTAGTTTTGAAAAGTATATCCAAGCATTCAGTGACAGAGTGAAAGATCATTGCTCTGTGATATTTTAGTATACATTTTTATCTCTTTTATGCTTTTTGGCAGTAAGCTATAGAATACTATCCCTAAGTAAGATTTTGGATGAATTCCTAAATTAAATCCACAAAATGAGAAACAGGCAGAACATTGCCGATTGGTTCCAGACCTGAAAAGCATAAAGCATGTCTCCTTAATATTAGAAGCTGGAGAGGTTGATATCTATCATTTGTATCAGGCTGTAAATAATGCACTTTTATATTTCAGAAACTAATGTAAGTTACTCTCCTGGCCAAAAATTGTTAGTCCTAATAAATCAATATAGATTTCAGGAGTAATAAGCAAAAAGAATTCAATTCCTCTGAGTCTGCTCATTTGCATTTTCCTGAAATTATTCTGTTTATGTTTTATGAGACCTTTAGATGAACATGACAGTTGGCTGAGAGAATCACATTTAATTTTTGCCACAGCTTACAGAAGTGAAGAGCTTTGTAAGAAAAATGTTTTCACTCTAGATTGCCTCCCTTGCAGCAGGACTCAGGTTTTGGTGAAAAGCTATGACATTTAGGCTAGTTAAGCATGTATCGCTCTCCCATTCCATAGGGAATGTCCTGGGCTGTCCTTGCTCAGCAGCCCACCTGCACTTCATTAGAGAGCAGAGCATTCACATGCCACACCACAGGATCCCACAATGACATAACTCCATTCAGAGACTGGCGTGACTGGGCTGGGTCTCCCCCCTCCAGCTCTTGTATCACTAAGAATCTGGCAGCCAGTTCCGCCCTGACAGAGTTTACAGCATATATTGGTGGATTCTTGTCCATACTGCATCTGCTTTAAGAATTAACGAAAGCAGAGTCAAGACTGTAAGGTAAGTGCTGTTTAACTGTAGCACTGGGGACGCTGACTGTTTGGGACAGTGTTTATTGTAACAGGAACAGAAAAAGTTCTAGAGCAACTTTGCCAATTGCTATTCAACAGCAAATCCATACTTCTGAGCATTTACTCTCACACTTTTCTTAATATGTTTTCCATGACTTATGGATTTAAGAGAAAGTTTTTACAATATAGGCTGTGTTGCTTGACAAAGGAAGTTATAAAAAGTTTCAGGGTTGGAATGAGACAATATTTAAACGAGACAGTAAAAATGTATGGCAATGAAAATATTTGTTATTTTATGCTAATGAGTTATATATGTTAGTATTTTTACAATGAATTTTGCAGCAAAGAAAGGTCATTTTAAGCAGTATTAAAACTATTTTTGCCACATACATATTGCTATCGTTTGTTACAATTTGCCATAAATATTTTATGTTGTGATAAAATGTGAGCTTAAGGACATAGACCCTCTTTTGGATTACTTATTTCTATTTTGTTAATTTTAAAGATGTTTTTTGGATGTATGTTTTAAAATGGATATGTTTTGAAGAAATTCTGGGAAACATTTTTTTTTAAAGCATTTCCTCCATAACCACAGGTATTTGCCAAAACTGGGAGGAAAGTAAATAAAGTGCACTTTTGCTTCATAGTGGAGTCCTTATACAGCTACAAACTCTCTTTGGATTCATTCTGCCAAAAAATATGAAAGCATGTTTTTCATTGGTATTCAATCCATTATAGTTACCATGTCTATTTTAGTGTATACTGAAATAAAATAAACTCAAAGCTTATTAAAAAAGCAAGACAAATCTTTACAACATTAACATACTGTACCTTATATTGCAATATTAATTATGCTCATTGCCAAGTCTTGTCAACTAAATTAAATGACTCCATCATTTTCTTGGGGAATAAGTTAGTTAAAAATCTAGTTACAAATTACATCGTGTTAGCTGTCAGTGTTTCTAACACCTTTTTTTAGTGTTTCATCTGCTAAAATAAAGTGCCTTGTAATTCCATGTTAAAGCAAAGGTGTTTAAACTTCCTAATACTAAAAATCCTACTTATCCCAAACTCCCTAGATCCAAAAGCTTATACCATACCTCTCACAGGAAGATCTGTTGCCTATGGCATGTAGATGGTGCTTCACATTAAGGGTTTCCCTCTCAGAGTTACCAACTTCTCCTCAGCCATAGCTTTCATTCTAGGAAAGTCCAACTCTTGTATGCTACTGTCCTTTACCTAAATTTCTGACCTTGTATTCTCCAAACAATTAAAATATACTTTATTGAGCCTCACCTTGGAAACATGTTCTTACTAGATCATTGTTACATATTGTTTTTAATTTATATTCTCAATTTTATCCATTCTTCCATGGCTCCTAATGTCACTGTAAAATACAGACTTTGCTCAATGCCCAGATCTCTCCCACTTCCACTCTGAAAGAGCACTAATAGCCAAATAAGTGAACCATGCCTTCTTAAATTTTGGCATGAAGAAGGTAGAGAACTTGTGAGTCATTGACAGAAAGGAAAACTTTAATTCAAAACTTGGAAAAGAATATCTTTTTTTCTATTAAGTTGGATCACTTTCTAGGTTTAAAAATCTTTAGAATTTGTGACATTTTTTTGATTAATAAACATTAGTTTTACTAAAACTTATATACTAAATATTAATTTCAGAATTACAGTTTTGTAATGTGCCTGAAAGTCTGGAATGCTAAACAAAAGTTGAAATAATATCCATGCACACCCTACTAAGAATTCTGTTACCTTCCCTCAGAACCAACAAAAATAACCAGACATTTTTAAAGGAATGTACTCCCCCCTCCCATATCCCTCCACCTTGCTACCCTCCATCTCTGGCCACACAAGTTAAGAACAGCTTTCCTTCCAGCAAAACCACAGGTTGCTCATGTTCCCAGTAAGGGTCTTCTTAATGAGACATTTTAATGATGTTGAATGCTAGGGTAAAAGGTACAGTTTACAATTGTCTCCTAATTTTCATTTTTTTGTGGTTTTGAAGGATGTTCTGAGGTAGTGTTTTAGCATGGTGGTCAATGGGCACTACCCAGACACCTCTTACAGGAAATCATTGAATTAAGGAAGGACCTGGAGAGATTGACTGGGTAGGTTAGGCCTGGCTTGCCCAGTAGGGGGCGCGTGTGTATGCAATCTAAGCCTAAATTGTTCACCTCCTCACAAGTTGTACACATACATCTTAAACCTCATGCTTAAATAAAAATTAAAAAGACATCCTTAGATTCATAAAAAAACCCAAAACAATAAAATACACATCTTTCTAATAAATTTAACATTGTAAATTGAATATTCATTCACTTACTTAAAGTATACTATTTTATTATATGTTTCCACTTTACTTAGGATTCAAAGCATTCGCCAAAAATGAATCTTGGTGCATTTACTCTGCTATTAGCACTAATCAGTGGTGCCAGCGGCCAATACTATGATGATTATGATTTTCCCCTATCGATGTATGGGCAATTATCTCCAAACTGCGCCCCAGAATGTAACTGCCCTGCAAGCTATCCATCGGCCATGTACTGTGATGAGCTGAAATTGAAAAGTGTGCCAATGGTGCCTCCTGGAATCAAGTACCTTTACCTGAGGCACAACCAGATTGACCATATTGATGAAAAGGCCTTTGAAAATGTAACCGATCTACAGTGGCTCATTCTAGATCATAACCTTCTAGAAAGTTCTAAATTAAAAGGAATTTTCTCTAAACTGAAACAACTGAAGAAGCTGCATATAAATTACAACAACCTGACAGAATCTGTGGGCCCACTTCCCAAATCTCTGGAGGACCTGCAGCTTACTCATAACAAGATCACAAAACTCGGCTCTTTTGATGGACTGGTGAACCTGACCTTCATCCATCTTCAGCACAATCAGCTGAAAGACATTTCAGCTTCTTTTAAAGGTCTTAAGTCACTTGAGTACCTTGACTTGAGCTTCAATCAGTTGACCAAATTGCCTTCTGGTCTCCCAACATCTCTTCTAACTCTCTACTTAGACAACAATAAGATCAGCAACATTCCTGATGAATATTTCAAGCGTTTTAAGGGACTGCAGTATCTGCGTTTATCTCATAATGAATTGGCCGATAGTGGAATACCTGGAAATTCTTTTAATGTATCATCTCTGCTTGAGCTGGATCTCTCCTATAATAAGCTAAAAAACATACCCACTGTCAGTGAAAACCTTGAAAACTATTACCTGGAGGTCAATCAACTTGAAAGTAAGTAGAAAGCTGTGCTTATGTTTGATGGATGTATCTGAATGCTTTTAAACATGTAAGCTGTGCAACACAAATATTGATTGCATCTGGCGCCACTTAAAAAAATAATTAAAATGCCAATAAAATATCCATCTAAGTCAAATATAGAAAATTCTAGCTTAGTTATTTATCCATTATCTGGCCTTTGTTTCGAGTGTCCAGATAAGAAACCAATAGGATCATAGAATTTAATCCTAAATTTCTTCAAATTTAATATTCTGGGCTAATTAATCCTGCTGTGTCACTGCTTGATATTTATCTACTATTTGCCTCCTCCATGACGTAGATTTGTGTCCTACATTTATTTCTTGGCAAGATCTAGCTGAAGGGGGAGCAAATGAGTGCCGAAGAGGCATGGCTAGCAGAGGCTTTCAAGCCTCCCTCCGGCTTATCCCCAGAGCAGCCCTGATATCCTCATGGTCTTCTCTGACATCTTTACTTGGGACTCAACATGGTATTCTGCAATCATGACCATCATCCATCTCTGTTATCCCTGTTATGATGTGTGTGGCTTCCCAATGTTCTTATGAGTCTGTGAGGAAGATTAAGGAGGGAAGGTACATGATCAGGATTTGGAACATTTTACAAATAGTATTACAGAGCTCCTTTTCTTATACACAACCCTCCACCACATTGGATTTTTCCACAGTTTCTCCTCCCTTTCTCTTGATGATATAGTTTATTTTTCATTTATTTTCTGGGTGGGAGTTTGACCTGATCCACTTGGATTATTTATGCCCTCTTCTTGTCTTCTGGGGGCATTTTCAATTTGAGCAATAAAGATTTCGGTGGGAAATGTACATTTACCATCCCCCACCTCTCTCTTTATCAGAGCTTGGCAGAAGAGAAACCAATGGTCTTGGACAAACTTGCTAAAAAAAAAAATCAAGTGGGAAACACTGATTCACACATAAACAATTGTATCTGCTAAATAATCTATTCAAATTGAGCATCTTTATGCCATGAAAGTTGGTTGTCTTGTCATACTGGATGAAAATATTGATATTCCTTTTAGAAAAATTGCACTGTGCCTTATTAACATGATAATTTCTAATTCTACAAGTTTCCCGTAACTCCTAGGGTGGTGAGGGTGATCTCATGAAGGAGACCATGATTGCCAACTCTAAAATGCCACATGCTTTTTCTTATATCTGGAAAACTTGCTTCTCATACAATGCACAGTCAAGCTATCAGAGCTGGACCCTTACAATTGTTTCTAGTAAAAAACTCACTATCTGGCAATATAGGGTCCCACATTATAAACATTTGTGGTTAAGAGTATGGCTACTTAGACTAGCCAACATGCTAATGGGATTTAAGATGTTTTAGGATTTGAGGGCTGAAGAAATCCTGTTAGACATGGTGGGTAGAGATTAGCATCAGGGGCAGGGTCACCTCATTCTCTGAAGTAAGAAAGGGAAGAGCTACAGATGCAGGAGAATTTGGAGGGGTAACAATAAGGCCTCATTATGTGAGTGAGAGAAGGAAGAGCTGATGTGGGAGATGGAAAAGGTGGTCTATGGACGAAATGCTGACAGGCACTCAGTGCCAAGCTGAGATAGAAACCACAGTGCCCAGCATATATGGCCATTTGGAAATGAATAGTGCCCGCCCTTCCTTCCTTGACCTGGACATTTAGGTATACCAGGTATACCTTGCAGGTATTGTTGCCATTTGTCTTTGCATGCATTTCTTTGACTTAGTTTATTGTGCCATGTAATACTTATGTATATCAATTGTCTACATTTTCTTAGATAAAAGACCCCCTTTATGTTTCTCTACTATTAGAAAATCTATAGCCAAAACTATTTCTCATCTTTCAGACTTGCAAGTCTAAGACACTAGCTTAAATCACAGACCTTTCTATGGTGACATAATTTGAAAGAGAAAAACCCACAAAATTTAAAGGGTACCAGTAATTATTTAGTATATATTATGTGCTAACACTCTGTGAGGTGCTTTGCATACCTTAATTGATTTAATGTTCATGCAACACAGTGTGATGGATATATTATGTCTAACAAGAAGATCGCATCAATATTCCAAAGTCACCCATTTGGTAAATGGCAAAGGCAGAAAATTAATATAGGCCTAAGGCCATGTTTTATCCCATTGTTCCATACTTCCTTTGTGGTAGGTAGCATAACAAAGATCTCTGCAATTTGACTAATGACTTATTTAAGACAGCATCATAGAGGTAAGGAGCAGAGTGTGTTTGGGCTTCCACTGAAGTCACTGTTGATTAGAATTTGAGAATAAAAGAAAATATCAAGGCAAAGGACTAGATAAGGTTAATCTGAAATAGACTTGAGCAAACATAAACAGCTTCTATGTACACACATCATAAACCATGCAATCTAGTAACAATCTTTGTTTCCATTAAAAACTAAGTCAGTTTTTCTCTTGTGGCAGCTTTCTAACCACAGGAAAGGACGTGGCTCAGATGGTGGTCATTCCATGACTTGGATTTTGCCTTGGAGCTTTGAATCTGTCATGATGTGTGCCAGCAGGAAAACACTTTAGAGGTCATCTAGTTAACCCTTCAAATTTCCAGATGCAAAAGCTCAGGATGCTTATATTGGCGAGATGATTCATACAACAGCACAATTTTACATATCATCCGTCTAAATATTTCTAAAAATTCTTAGATAGTATTATGCACTTAGTCTTTCTAATCTAAGAACTTACAATAAATATCATTCTTTGAAAAATTTAATGGACCATCCTGACCCACCATAGTTACTTTACTAAATATTTTTGTATCATTTGGTAGTCTGAAATATTTCGTTAGTAATTTCGAATTCAAATATACACCAAATAAATGACTTTAAAAAAGGGGGCAGAGGGGGAAGAAATCCTATTAGATATTATTATGGACTTGGAAAAATTTTAATGACTATTTTAAGCCATGTAATAAAAAAGAAAATATTATTAAAATCTTTTATTCTTTATTTTCCAGAGCTTGAAGTAAAGAGCTTCTGTAAGATCCTGGGACCATTATCCTACTCCAAGATCAAGCATTTGCGCTTGGATGGCAACCGTAATATCACCCAAACTAGTCTGCCACCTAATATGTATGAATGTCTACGTGTAGCAAATGAAATCACTATCACTAATAATTAATTTCAATTATATTGACGTGTATCCTGGAGCAACATCTTATGCTTGTATTTTTGTGTGTTAGTTTTCATAGTGTCCATTTTTGTTGTTGCTTATTACTTCCATGAATTTTAAATTCTGAGAGAAAATGTTTTGTAAACATTTTACTACTTTTTTACAAAGAAAAGATGAAAAGCAGGCCTATTTCATCACAAGCACGACACATGCTCACACATATACAACAAACAATGCGTTAATTGTAAATTTAGTGCTTTTTACATCTCACTGTCAAATGATGTGCAAAGCCTTTTACTGTCTGCATGGAAGTCAGCCGAGTTTTATAATCTCTAAATGTTAACTTAATGTGCCCAAAAGTATGGAATACATAAATATGGATGTTTACTGTCTTTAATCAAATTATCTTAATATGCTCAAATTTGTTCAGCTGAAAAGCAGGTGGTAAATTTTGAGACCAATGATTTTGTGAAATACTAAACAAAATTCATGAAGCCACATACATTTAAAGCAGAATTGTTAGTATTAAGAATATATATAGTTACCTAGAAAAACTTTCTGGAATTATTTTTCACTTTAAAATCTTATGTATGTTTCTTTTTTTATTATTTGCATGTTATGTTTAACAAGCTAATAGTAAAATAAAACATAGCAAATGGCATCACTGTGTTTGACTTCTTATAAAATTCATCTCTCTCATATATAAAATACAGTCATGTACCATATAATGATATTTCAGTGAATGATGGATCACATATACAATGATGGTCTCATAAGATTATAATGGAGCTGAAAATGTTCTATAGCCTAGTGATGTTATAGCCATTATAACATCATAGCAGAACACATTACTCCTGTGTTTGAGGTGATGTTTGTGTAAGCAAATCTACCACAATGCCAGTCATATAAAAGTATAGACACACAATTATGTATAGTACATACTTGGTAATTATGATAAATAGGTTATTGGTTTATGTATTTATCATGTTATACTTCTTATCATTATTTTAGAATGTATTCTTTTTTACTTATTAAACAAAAAAGTTCCCTGTAAAGGAGAATACCATGTTATGTCAGCCTCATACACCTCCTGTTTATGTCTCTTGTTTGCATATTTTCTCTTGTGCTTGATTTAATCTCATGTTGTTTTATAACTTTAGTGGAGCCTAAATGCACAGTGTGAATAAAGTCTATAGCAGTATACAGTGATGTCCTAGGGCAGTGATGGCAAACCTATGACACGCGAGTCAGAGGTGACATGTGAACTCATTTTTTTGGTTGATTTTTCTTTGTTAAATGGCATTTAAATATATAAAATAAATATCAAAAATATAAGTCTTTGTTTTACTATGGTTGCAAATATCAAAAAATTTCTATATGTGACACGGCACCAGAGTTAAGTTAGGGTTTTTCAAAATGCTGACACGCCGAGCTCAAAAGGTTCGCCATCCCTGGCCTAGGGCTTCACATCCACTCACCATTCATTCACTGACCCACCCAGAGCAACTTTCAGTTCTACAAACTCCATTAATGGTAAGTGCCCCATACAAGTGTACCACGGTTTATCTTTTGTACCATACTTTTTACTTTTCCTTTTCTATATTTAAATACACAGATACTTACCATTGAATTACAGTTGCCTAAAGTCTTCAATACAATAATTTGCTGTACAGGTGTATACCCTAGAAGCAGTAGGCTATACCATGTAGTCTAGGTTGTGTAGTAGGCTGTACTATCTAGGTTTGTGTGAGTGCACTCTATAATGTTCACACACAATGTCAATATTGCATAAAGGTGAATTTTCCAGAACATATCCTCATTAAGTGGTGTATAACTGTATTAGATCAAAATTCAAAAAACATCTCTAATATGCATTATATTACTCATGTTAAATAGAATTTCCCACTAAGTAAATTGTCTGCTTCTAACTTCCACTTACAAAGACTTTTAAACACACCTTACATTATGTGTCCAGATCCCAATTCTAATTCATGAAGTGAGGGGTTCCCCACCACCACCAAACAATTCTCTGGACATCAAGTGGGTATCCTACAATTCAAATCAAGTTTGACACTATAATTGTGGAGACAGTGTCAGATTTACAGGTTAAGACTGTATCCTATCTTCAGATGCCAGTAGCAATCCCGGTCCTGCACTTCTAATAACTGGCTATAAAATAGAGGTTTCCCAACACCCACTCCTCGTGTTTGATTATTTATAGACTAGCTCACAGAACTCAGGAAACTTGCTTACTCTCTAGATTATAAATCTATAATAATAAAAGCATAATATGCTAATTAAACCGGACAACCTTCTGGAAGAAGCCGGTGGCCAAGGGAAGCCCCGGCCCCGCATGCCAAAGGGAAGCCAGTGCCAGCAGCCAGGGAAAGGAAGGCCTACTCTTGCACAAATTCCATGCATCAGGCCTCTCTCTCTCTCTCTCTCTCTCTCTATATATATATATATATATATATATATATATATAGAGAGAGAGAGAGAGAGAGAGAGAAAGAGAGAGACAGAGAGAGAGAGAGAGAGAGAGAGAGAGAGAAGGAGGGAAGGACACTTAGCATATTTGGCTTATGTTAAGTGTTCTTCCCTCCTTCCAGGTAATGACGTCACATAGCAACCCCCAGCTTCCTCTCCCTAGCCACGACTAACCTCCTTGCTGTTTCTTCAGCCCAGGAACACTTTAGCCAGGTGGAAACACTTTACACTGGAACCAAATGTCTGTGAAGTGTTTCCCCATGCCTCATCTCATTTGATCCTCACAGAAGTCCAGGAGTATGTAGATAGGAGACTCAGTGGAATCCTATTTTCTTGCCATTAGCTGGAAAATGGAGATTTAGAAAGTTTAGAAACTTGACCCAACTGAAAAGAAGTAAGAAATGGTGGACCTTGAAAATGACTTCAGGTTTTCTCACTGCACAGAATATAGGTAAACACTGCTGCAGTTAAATATTTTACCCTTTGTTCTCCCTGCATAATCTACAATAATAATATGCTTCGTGTTGATATTTACTGCTGTGTTGCTGACAATTACCTGAAAGAGAAGTTGGGGTGCTTCACTGGGCTGGAAAAAGTTTAGCTAAATCAGAAAGCAGGTGTAATTAAGTTTATTCTCTATATATAAAAGGCTAAGTTGACTCGCACATGCACAATACATATAAAGCTCTCGCTGGCACCAATCGCACACGTGTGTTTTGATCTGTCATTGTCGATCATGAATTTGGTTGACACTTCTATTATAGAGAAAGGGTGAATAGCGATATTAAAATATTTATTCTAATTAATTTCCTTTCAATGTGCACAAATTCATGTACTGGGCCACTAGTTTATTACAAAATTCAGCCCTGGATTGTGTGGCTCGGTTGTTTGGAACATCATCCTGTGCACCGAAGGGTTTCCGGTTTGACTCCCCATCAGGGCAGTACCAGAGGCAACTGACCAATATTTTACCTTCACATTGATCTCTCTCTCTCTCTCTCTCTCTCTCTCTCTCAACTCAATAAAAACTTATCTTCAGGTGAGAACTTAAAAAAAAAGAGGATATAACTTGGGAACAGTCAGATGGAATAAATGCATAAGGCAAGGTCTGGGGAAAGGGCATGAAAGCTCCTTTCTCTAAGCATGCCACTCTCTCAGGATCACCACGTGTTAACCAGCCTGAAAGCTCTCTGTACATTATCCTTTTGTCTCCTGGATAAACACTTGCATAAAGCAATGATGCACATGGGTTTTCTTCTTTCCTAAATCATATTCACTGGAGACTTACTGTAGACCCTGATTTTGGGTCTACAAATGAAAAAATGAAAAAAGTCCCTCAACATTGCATTTGAAAATCAGGGCTAGATCATACCTTTATGGTGAAGGAGAACCATAATGTACTGGTGCTTTGAAGTTTGTGAGGAATTATGCCCTAATAATACAGAGGGATGATAAACCACCAATGAGCCAGATGAATGTTGATTTCTTAAAGGTTCTCCAACTGGTAATAGCTGTTTTCAAAATACTGGAGAGGTTAAAAGGTTGGTTTTACAAAGGACTTTTGTTTTTTTGCTTGTGATCTTTTAAGTTTGTTTTTTTTTTCTTTTCTTTTTTTTCTATAGCTATAGTTTTATCATAGTGATAGCCTTAAATATTTTTTGGCTTGGATTTTGCAACCATTATAAATACTTGCTTAACACTTTACTCACAAGTAAAAGAAAATTCTCATTTTATTTACAGTGAACTGTTAAGGACCAGAACTGAAAATGTATATAAAAATAACAATAAAAGTTAACAGACATGCCGTAAGTATATGAAATATATATTTTAAATATTTTACTAGTTATATTTATTTATTCACTCATGATTTCCATAGATTTTGTTTCCTAATAAGGTATAAGAAGTTGAACACAACATAGGTAGGGAGAGTAGAAATTTAGGCAACATATAATGAGTGAGGTCACTCCCCGGGCACCTTTATCTCATGGAGAGGCCCAAGATTCCACTTCTGCTGTATAGGGGCTCCTCTTTCACATTTTGATTGGCCCAAATAGTATCACCTACTTTTATGTCTTATTTCCTTAAAATGTGCCTACTGTTCTATAAAAGAGAATACATTCTATGTTTTAAAAATATCCAACAGGGCATGTGCTGGGGGTGGGAGCAGCCAGGGACAGGTCAATGGGGGAAAAGGAGACATATGTTAATACTTACAACAATAAAGAATTTTAAAAATAAAATAAAAATATCCAAGAATCTTAGCTACCTTACTTATGAATTTTGTCTAAATAAAAAAACAAAACAAAACGCTCTCTATTCTCACTGCCACTTCTTGAAGATTTGTTCAATTTTCATCTAGATTTCTGAAGACTCTCATGTTTTTCCTAACTGCATCACCCACAATGAGTTACCAGAGTGAGTTTTCCTATGTATAACTGCTCCTTTATTATTTACCTGTTTACAACTATTCAGTGATACCCCATCATTTTCAGGATGTGCCTTAGGCTCCTCAATGCAGCATGAGAGGGCCAGGACACGACCAGCCTTTTGAAGTCCAGCCTTTGGTCACCTCTAGATTAGAGTCTCATCTCTTATCAGGTCTTGCCAGGTCCCACATGCACCATATTACATCTCTTGTCACTGCAACCTTACTTACCACTTTGCA